TTCAACATGACAGCTTGTTTTATTTCACAAAACCTCTGCTTCAGGATGAGCAGTGCCTGCTGCCTGTAAAATCACCCCATATAGCATTTTGTCCTCATCATTTAGCATGTGGTTCTGTGCATTATTTATTGTGCAGAATCCAAGCCCTGCACTGAAAACTAATTATTAATTTACTTCCATTTTTTTTTGTCACCAGAACTTCAGATAATTTTTTCCCCAATGTTCACTGCCTGATTTCTCAAACACTGATGTGAGGCATGGTGGGATTATTCACCATGTTACACACAACTCAGATGAAAAGGGTTATAATCCATTTTTCCAGACCTGCATTCAACTGATTCAGCAACATGGCTATCCTGTCACATTTGCACTGCTGCAGGGAGGGAGAAAGGGCACTCCAGGAACCTTCATGGCACAGTCTCATTTCCTCAAAGCACAAGCCATCCTAGCCAAGGATGAGGGACAGCGGAAGACAGACTGAACCCCAATTTCCCTGTCTGACATGGGAAGTTCTGCTGAGACTGTGACACACTCTTTTGCTCAGCTCAGCCATCATTGCTGCTGCTCCGATCGGTCCCTGGCTACATTTTTCACCCTGAGGTCCTGTATTCTCATTAATGCAGTCACAGAAAATTCTGGATAGCCCAACTGGAGGCATTTTCAGAGGAGCTGGCAGTGTGCTCAGAGAAACAGCTGAGGCCAGCCCGGGGACAGGGAGTGCAATTCTGGTCCCAGCTCAGTCGGTGGAAGGGTTTCAGCAGAGTCCAAGACCTGTCTCAGCTTCCTCTGAGGGCTTTTAGTGCTCTGCGCTGATTCCCAAGAGTCACAAACCTCAATATTTCTTCTGTGGCCTGGCAGGAATTTCAGATTAATGTATGAATGTTAGCCTTCTTTGTCCTTTCTTGCTTAGCAGAGCCTCATGGTGGTCAGCCAAGGATTGCAGGGAAAAGCTCTGGGCTACCTTTATGTTCTCCTTGGACAGGGAGGAGATGAGAGTTGAGGTGGAAAGAACAAGCAGAGACCCTGAAAGCTGGAGTGGGGGCCTGCATTACCTCTATAGGATTGTTTGTAGAGAATTATTCCTTTTCTTCCTTGGTTAAAGCAGAGAACAGGCTCATGCAGCCTAAGTGGCAATGGCTGTAGCGACACAAAAAAGCTGCTGGAGCACTCAGTGTTTCCCCCTGAATGCTATAGACAGTGGTCTCCTTGTCCTAACTGCACCTCTTATGATGCTCCAAAGCTAGAATATTTTTTGTAGGGAATAGGGGGATACTAAGTCAGCTGCTGCTCCCTTAAAGTACAACGCTCTCAGTAAAACTCAGTTAATGAACCACATAAAAATGGCCATCTGGTTTTGAGTTGATTTTTGTTCCCTCTAAGGCTATTCCATTAAACCCTGCCTGCCAAGCTGCCTCCCAAAAACACAGATCCAAACTTTGAGCTCCTCCATCCCCAGCTCAAACCAATGGGCATTCTGCTTGCTGAGCAGTTCCTGGGATTTTTTGCATCTATGTTTTCTCAAAGCTGGGAATCTCAGCAGCTCTGCTGACAAAGTAAGTGCAAGGATGCAGAGGAGACAAAAGCATTTTGCAAAATGCATTTCTATTCATTGCCACTGGAGCAGCACAGATATCTTCCCACTTGTCCTAAGGATAACAATAGCTCTGCCTTGTCAGCCAGCCAGCACAACAGCTCAGAAGAGGCAGTGCAAAGGAGCTGAGAGATTCAAGGGAGCAAACAACAGATCCTGTATCTGTTCTGCTGGACACTCTGGCCACTCAGAGACCAATCCCTTTACACAAACAACATCCACCATTGATACATATTTTCACCTCTTTCCTGTCAAACCATAGCATTTGGGAACCTGTGAAGTCCAACGTAGTAGGACACAGTTTGAGCCAAAGATCTGCCAACGGCCCCAGGGGTTGCCAGCTCTTGCAGAATATGTGAACAGGGACTGTGGCTTTGGGAAACATGTGAAAACCATACCAAGAGCCAACAGGAAATCTGGGACTCCTCAAGCAACACGATGTACTCTGCCATGGAATAAGGAGATGTTCTCAGGGGTAACCAAGGCACACTCGCATCTGGGCCTGGGCAGTGAGGAGAAGAGCAGGGAGAAAGGAGGGGAGGAATCAAAATGCCTCTTATTTGTCTAAATGGTTAGTGGGTAAAGTGAGAAGAGGGCCAGGACAATCAGAAGGGGGAACTAGGATGCTCTGTAGTCTCAAGGGATTCAATATTCTGGGTCGCAATGAAAGATACTGGCTCCAGTTTCCTATTGTTCTTCTTAGCAACTACCAGTTGTTTTTAACTAATACTCAGATACCTCCTCCTGGCATTAAAATAAACAAGAGATTTAGTCCCAAATCTCTCTGGGATTTTGCACTGGGGAGGCTGGTCAAAAACCATACATGAGGAAGGTTTTTTGTCTTACTGTGCCTTCTGCCATACTGTGGTCAGGAAGCAGGATGACGAGTGGCAACCAGCCCAGACTTGATCTACACTGTCCATGTATACACTGTATACACATATACACTGTCCATGAAAGACAAAGCAGGGCTGGATGAGAGGTGAAGAACTCGATGACATTCAGCAAGAGATGGGAACAGAAACAGGTAACACTATCCAAGTCACAGGGATGGGAGGTGATAATTGCAGGAGCATGTTGGAGGGGGAGAATCGAGAAGAGACAGCAAAGAAGAAGGTAGCAGGGTTAGAAGCAAAATGAGAAATGACAGTAAAATCCTCAGAGCTCAGTTCTGCCATACTGACACAAAACCTGTGAGACAGGGAGAAGGTTTTCTTAAATCTGAAATTCGCATTTTAAAGCTGCACATTGTAAGCAGTGAAGCACTTTTTACCTAGAGATCTGAAATGTCACATCTTCCCTGCAGTGACATTTTGGTGACAAAATGCAGCTGCGTTTTGAAAGGAGATTTTGCCTTTCCCCTTGTCACTTTGCAGAACATCTGTAGCACGTTGCACTTCCAGAGGTTTGAGCTGCCTTTGGAGGATCACACTGCTTCATAGCACTGGGAACAGCTCTGAAGAACTCAAAAAATGTGTTTCTTTCCTTGAGTAGAGGTGTTGTTCAGTTACAAAATGCATGGTGTTCTAGTTTTGTTCTGTTTGATGCTGTCCTCACCAAAGCCAGGCTGTGAGACTGGGAGTACAAGTGTCTATGCCATTAGGAGATGGGGTAGATCCCTCCCTCAGCTGAAGGTAACAGACCCTATCTCATGGGGGAACGTTGCTCCAACTGGGAATAAGAAATCTGTGCCAATGCTTGGAAGGGAGGTAGAACTTTAGCCCTGTGTGAGTGACTGAAGGAGAAAGGATGTTTTTATTCTGACTCGATAAAAAGTGTCGTGGTGACCGAATGTTCCCTCATTCTTCACCTGAAAGCTTCGTGCATACAAAGCAATATTATGTACTAATAGAAATGAAAAATACCCAGTAACACCCTGCAGAATAGCCTGCTGTGTGCAGCAGACATGTTCTTCATGCCCAATAAGAGTATGAACCAGCACTGACAATCCAGCACAACACAAAAACAAAGCAACCGTGTTTTGGACAGCTGTTGCAGAAAATAACAAAGTGTGGAGAGATGTTATTAGCAAAGGCAAACATCAACCAAAGTCACTATTTCCCAGGCCAGTGCTTTCCAACTGCGTCAGGTAAAGGTCTTTTTTATCACAATTTTTGTGGCAGAAATAGGTGATGGAATTACAGAATTATGCTGGTAATTTTTTGGCGGAAGGTAGGGGAAGGAGGTGAATCAGAACGGGTAATTGTCGTCAACCAACTTACTTTCTGCCCTTCAGCATTCAAACCCCTGCATTAAATTGAAGATACAACAAGAAAGCCTTTTGCTCTTCTCTAAGTGAATACAGAATTCTTGGAAACAAAGGTGAGATTTTGTAGTGCTGGGAATGAAGGCTGTGCTACCTTGTGGTTTTACCGATATCACCCGTGCAGTGCTCCTAACTCTTTCTAGACTAGCCCTCCATGTAGCTTTGTCGATGAATGCATGTGATTTTAAACTACAGCTTCCAATTTAATCCTGGGTTTTGTCCAGTTCTGTTCCCAGACTACGCAGAGAGCACCAGGACTGTTAAAGTTAGAGAGCATAAGAAAAACACAGATGTGCATTCAGCTCTCAATTATCCAAAGTAAGAGGGAAAGGACTATAACGCAGATACAGCAAAAACATGATCTAGTACAAAATATGAATTAAATAAGCTGTAACAACATAGGGCAAACAAGTTACACTGCCAAAACACAAAAACACAGAAGGATAATTTTCTTCAGCATGCCAGTTTACCTGCAGAACTCACCGCCACGAGGTGCTACAGAGGGTAAACCAGGGTTTGATATGAGAAATAAAACATGTTGATAGTTACATAAGCTTGGATAAATATGCTGAGGTTGACCAGCCCCCACAATCATAGTTTCAAAGCCAACTGCATATCATCAGGTTTTATAACCTCCTCTACACACTTGCAGCTGGTTACAGGAGGCTTCAGAGACACAGGCCTGGGAGACCTGAATCCTTGGGCTGATCCAGGTGGGTAAGTCTGTTTTGCACACATTTTCTGCATCTGCACACATTTTCTGCATTTGCAATATCTGAGACTTTGACAATACATGTAGCAGTCAGAGGATGCTACTGCCTCAGTAGCATGAAACTCCCGTCCCCATGTGGCTCTGAGCCACATCAGCACACAGGGCCCTGAGCAGGGCACCTGGGAAGTGAAGGCAGCTGGCATTTCACCATGATTGTCTAAAAGCTGCTTTTATGCAACCAGCTTGTCTTGGCAAAGCAGTTCCCACCCACCCCTCATGACAAAATGAAGCTTGTGAAAGCATGGGTTGCCCCCCAAACACACTCCCCATTTCATAGGGGTAGCTCATGCTTCAGCCTAGGCATCTTCTCCTGCAAGGCCAGGAGGAGTGCATCCATGCTGGGGGAAAACAGAATGGAGAGGATCACCTACAGAGATTCCTCTCCTTTATCCCACGGCCAGGCTTGTCCATCAAGTATGATCCTGGACTGGGACACTTCCCTTCCCTATGGTTCTGGGGAGCATTCACAGAGCACACCCAACGCCAGCACCTCACCCATCTCAGCCTCAAGAGTTGTTGTCACTTCCCTATGAGTGCTTAAGCATCTTGGTGCAGACAATTTGACAGGGAGGAACTTGCTACTTGCAGGCAGATCTGTTTACTCGTCCCCCTCAGCCCTCAGAGTCGCCGAGCTCACAGACTGACAGCGCTGTCAGGTCCCATTCATTGCTCGGCAGCCGATGCCTCACACCTCCTCACTCCCCTGCTGAACACAGCAGGACCTCGGGAGCCGAGGCTCTGCCCTCAGATGGGGCTCAGTGATTGATGCATCACAGTAATCACCAGCACTCATCGCTGAATAGTGAAACTTCACTTCATAAAGGCTTTTTAGGGTGGGAGGTGCAGGTCAGGGCTCCCGCACGCTGACGCTTTTAGAGCCAAGCCAGCTGGGTGCTCCTACCAACAGCCTCAACCCAACAGACTGAATTAGAGGAAAACAAGCCCAAGAGCTTCTCTTGTTAGTTCAAACTGTTCTTACCTGGAGGGTGGAGAGAAGGACTTGCAAGCCACTGGCTTCTTGTTCTGCCATGCTGCTCCCCACTCACACTCCCTCCTTCTAGCAGCAGACACAAAGCAGCTCGAAAGCAAAGCTGCCAACTTGCCTTGCTGCTGCCCCTGTGCCGTTTAAGAAACGAAGAAGCTAAACACAGATCCCCAGACACATGCACACTGCTACCACCAATAATCACAGCAATGCAACTCTAGACCTCAGCAGGAGAGATAAATGTACCCCCTCCCTCCCAGCTCTCCCACTGTGACGAGAAGATTAATTCCTATATAAAGAATCCCGGGGATTAAGTAAAGTGCCCAGGAAAGGTCTTGGTGCTTGATGTGTGGCAGGGGGAGTGTGGGGAGGGTGGCAATAGCAACAAGAAAGCAGAAGAGCTACAAACCTCAAAGAAAGCCAGGGAGAAGGGAGAGAGCACGCTGGCTGCCTGACAGGCATTCCCAGCTGACCTGCTGATCCATTCCAGACCCCGCGTGGACTCGTCTCCGTTTGACTCCGTTCCAGTGAAACCGGAGACATGGAGAAGGCAGAGCAAGAGAGAGAGAGATGCCCTCAGTCTTAACGAGCGCTGACAACGAACGGAAGATACACCCGGCATGAGGGACAGGTGGAGCGGGTTCACCACGGCTCGCAGAGGGCTGTTGGCTTCCAACCCTGATGATTGTCCCAAGTCACAGCTGCTGTGGCCACAGGCAGTGCCCCGCGAGGCAGGGAGTGACCGCAGAGGGACATCTCATGTCTGCACAGCAAAGGCACCTCTTCAAGGTGCAGTCTGGGGGAGAGCGTGCTACCAGGGCCACTGTGGTGATTCACACGTACCTATATCTGTATATAAGCATATCAACTCAGAGCCTGGTTCATTCCCTGGTGCACAAGACACACTATAGTACAGTTGTAGTTGTAGCTCGAATTCCTAGGAGGGCACAGAGTCCGCTTTTAGCTTCAGCCAAATGATATCAAAGGACTTGGTAAACAAGAAGGAGCAGATAAAGAAGTTGAGTAGAGGGTTAGGTGAGGATTTTCCAGCAAAATATTTTCAATGTGAAAAGGTCAATTAGTCCCACACAAGTACTTTTTCAGCTTTCTTAACATCAGAATGGCATTTTTGGTCCTGAGAGACGTCACTCCAAGATGGTTAGAAGGCTGACAGTTGAGATAATTGCTATTATGCAGAGGACGAAGATTAGATCTTGTCTTTCCAATCTGGGGACACAAATTTCAGTCTTTTACCTCTAGAATAAGTACTTCATTCTGGTGAGTGTCTTTTTAGTCCTTCCAATAGGAGTTTTCCCCCATAACTAAGGATTTTTGGAGCAGTAACATGAACCATAGTCTCTGACTACAAAGCAGAGGCTTACAGAACTCAGTACCACACAAAGCCATACCAAACAGACAGTGTGTACACATTTCCCTTTGCTGATGTCAGTATAAAACCCTGATCTTCTATGAAGCAGTTAAATGAAAAATAAAACACTCCACTCTTGGCCAAGGACTATTTTCACGTGATAAACCTTCATTGACCAAGTGTTTTAGGAAAATAGTAAGACAAATCCTCTCCAACTCATCCCAGCAATGTGTGAACAAGTGGCACAAGCATGACATTTCTCGGTTTCTGTGTGTGCCAGCAGGGTCCCAGGGTGTCACTACCAAGTTGTAAAATAAACCAGATTAAAATACCTGTGTCATAACTATGGAGATACATCAGTTCCTTCAGAGAGAATGCCTTGAGGACCGTTCATTGATGAACAAGATACTTCACAGACAACTAGGCAGAATAAGACAAGAAATTTCCTTTCCTATGGAAATTCAGGTTCAAGGACTTTAGTTTTCTTAAAAACATGTTTTATTTCAATTTTAAAAAGAAAAAATCTATTGCACGCCGTGAAGTACCATATTTTAGACAGAGAGCTGGTGTTCAGCCATTAGAACACTGAATTTTTGGCCATTTTGGGTGAGCTCTATCAGACATAGAGGAAGTTTTTTGAAGGTTCTCACAGAAGTCACACTTGTATCCACTTACTACCAAAGCCTTGTCGCGCAAACCCCATATGGCTTTGGGGATCCTTTCACATCAACAGGACTCAAACCTAATAACAGACCACAAATAAAGAGTGGAGAGAACCGAGGCAATGCAGGCACAGTGTCATCAAATGTGCTGGGTGGAAGGAAGGTGGGTAACGGGTTCTGAGAGCAGTGCCAACACACTATTTCTTTCACAAATTAGTGCACTGACAGAAAACTACTTCAGAGCTAATTAGAAGCTGTTTAAAGAACCTCTTCCACATTGTTGCTTCGTTCTCTTTCTTGTGACGATTGTACCTGTCACTAGAGCTGTGTGGAACTGTTAATTCCCACTGTGTGGATTTTCAGAAGGCAGTTAGAGCTGATGGATGTAAGCAGGCAATGGCTGTAGGCAGCCTGGATGCCCTGATCCCCTCCCACAGAACCTGATCCCTCAGCCCTCTTGCACTTGAATGGATCATAAACCATGTGGTGATCACCTCTCCCTCTTGTATCTTGATGTATTGGGTGAGTATTTAGCTTTCTGCCCCACCTGCAACACGACATTGGCCTCTATTAGGACTCTATAACAGATTCTCTAACACAGTGATCTGCTTCTTCCTCTCTGTGTGAAGAAGCTTTAGAAATAATTGCAAAAATTTCACTGCAAATAAGCCAACCCAAGAGGAAAGTAACACCAACATCAAAGCTTGGGGGGAAAAATTCTCTTATGTTCTTTAAATTTTGGGGGTAGTTGGCTTAGTTGTGCCCAGAGATTAAAAAAAAGCATCATATACCAGAAAGCTCTGGAGATTTGAAAACAAGACATGATGAGAAGAGTGATTAAAAAATAAAACACTCATGGAAGACCCCAACAGTGACAGTGATGTTCACATTGATCTACAGTGTACAGCAAAATCCCTTTGAAACCAAATTCTCAGCTATAAATCATGGAGGCTTCTAATTATTCATCATTCCCAAGGCGTTTCTTCCAGATTTTGTTAAATTTGCAATGTTATTTTTGGTTTCTAAGAATAGGAGGTCCCCCACCTCAACAAGCTGAATAAATTAGGAAACCTACACAGAGCTAAATGCCAGAACTAAAGCACACAGATTCTCCCTCTCCATTCATATTACACTGCAACACAGTTTGAAGATTAGCTTGTTAGTTTATATCGATGTCGTCGTTGTTTCCCCTGTGCCCTTAGGATTATGTGATCCTTAAACAAAATGAAAATTAAACTCATGGCTCCAGCTTCCTACTAGTGCCAGAGTTAATGTTCTTGTGGAGAGGACAGAGGGGATTAGAAGCACAAAGGCAGGACCTCTGGGCTCTCTGCAGGTGCTGCACAGGCTCAGACCAGTAATTTTCTTTTCTTATGCTCCAGGGCTCAGACACACAAACAAGTTAGAGATGTCATCTGATCTCCAGTAAATATGTGTACATACATTTAGCCCATAGCAAAGGGAAGATAATTCAGGATCATTTTACCTGCATTAAAAGAGCACTCAGTCCAATTATTTCACATTTTATGAGCATATACAGAAACCATTACCATGGATCAGCTGACACTAAGTAATACATTAGCCACAGAAACTTGTTCCTGTGACTAAACCAATGTTTTCCCTACCTATGAAAGTATGAAGTTTTCTCATGGAGATGTTGTACAGATATAAAATTGGCAAGCCTTCATCCAGAAGCATTTTTTTCAGCTATAGCATCGCATTAGAATTGTATGAGGTTAAAAATCTCCCTGGATGAGATAATCTGGAAATTTTAATTGTGAACGGGGTGATGAGAGACAAAAATCCTCTGCTGGGTATCTAGCAAACATAGTGTTATAGATCTGATATTTATTAAAAGTGGGAAGCCCATTCAAGAATTTAACATATTTAAATAACATTTTACTCTGTTGTTATCACTTTTCCATTTATTCCATCACCTCCAAACCAGAATTCATCATGTTCTTATCCACCTGCAGGAATGCATTTGAAAGTAATTTACATGCTAAATCAAAATTAGCTCAAAGTCTTAAACTCTGGAAAAACAGCACCAGAATCAATATTACCAGAATAAAGTGACCAGCTACAGCCAAACTTCACATCTCCTGTCCAAAGCCTATACCAACAAACTGCAGAACTCATTCAATTTTTGGATATTAGCATTAAATGAAGTCCAAATACCAAAATCAGCTTGGAAACCTGCGATTAACCTGAGGATATTTTCCTCCTTATTCTCAAAAAATTGACAGCATTTTTGCACTCACATCGCACACCTGGTTTCTAATAGGATTATTTCAATTTTTAAACCACTGAGATAGATAAGAGAACAGCCAGGTTCTGTTAAAAATGGGAAGGAAAAAAAAGTCTAATTGGATAAATTATTCATTCTGAAGCCAGCCTGAGTTTTATGAAATGCAATTGAAATATCACTGTGTAAA